CCATTCTCCATTGTAGGGTGGAGCATCATAAAAGATAACACAATCTCACAGCCTGCCCATCATCATCCCTATCTCACAATCCCATGAGTCTTATTAAAAAATAAGCACACTAGCACTCTAACAAATGCTTATTTACAAGTATGGAACTGTGGCACCAGTGTCAGCGCATGCATGTTTCACACACAGTCTTCTCTATACGTTAAGCACACACAAAAACAAGAGTTCCCCTGAACTCAGAATCTGCTGACACTTAAAAAACTCTGCAAACTTCTCCAAAACAGTATCTCACACCTGTAATTCAAGTCCAAAATAAGGGGCAGAAAGCACAGGGTGCAAGTACTAATTTTCAGCTGACCCATGTCAGTGAAGTAAGATGTCACCTCTTTTTCTAAATGCAATTCCCAATCAGCCATAAATTGATTTGTAAGTCTCTGGGTTTCCTTTTTCGTCTTCCACAGGTGCATGCAACAAGAGAAGATGTAATTCTCGTATACAGGTCACAATGTTTTAAAAACTCTGGAAAGCTCTGACTGGGAAAGAAATGAAAATTTTGCTGTTCTAGTTTTCAGTCTCACACATGAACTCTCTCCCACGTCAACATGGATAATCTAGAAACTGGCTAAATTCTAATAACCTAATTTTTGGATGTCACAAAGAGATTCTGATTCCTTGGAACAGAGGAGCTCTAAGTTGCCACCTACTCTTCCATTTTAATCACCATATGACTAAATACACAATAAAACACGAATACCATTATTCATTCTCTAAAAAAAAAAAATCTATAAAAAGTTTTATATGAGGAAGTAAGTAATGCTCAACTTACTTTCCTCTTTCCAAGTGTTATATTTAAAACTAGGTAATTAACTAAATTTTCACCAATAGCAAACCAAAGACAGTATCATTAATATTTTGACCAAAACCACCAGACAGCCCCAGCTAGTGTGGCTCAGTGGACTGAGCAGCCTGCGAACCAAAGGTCACCGGTTTGATTCTCTGTCAGGGCACATACCTGGGTTGCGGGCCCGGACCCCCAGTAGGGGTGCGCAAGAGCAACCATACACTGATGTTTCTCTCCCTCTCTTTCTCCCTTCCCTTCCCCTCTTCCTAAATTAAATAGTAATTAAAAAAAAAACACCAACTATTGGCAAAATCACCAAACAGTCCCTTATTTTTTCTATTTTGAGTACAGTATCAAGTAATTCTACAGAAGGAACTGTATAGGTATTAACATGTATTTAATAACACCTGAATCTGGGTGTAAACAAAAAAGAAATGCTGGCCTCACCATAGTAAGCAAAAAGAAATATTTCAAATATACTATTTAAACTTGTGATGAATACTTAACAGGAAAGTCAAAAACTACTTGTTACAAAATCTTTTAAAATTTCTGCTAGACCCTTCACAAACCAAGTGAAGCTTGGTATTATTACCACTATTTTTAACGTAAGGTTTACCTGAGAATAATCACGTGTATAAAAAACAAGTTTTAAGTTATACCAAAAATTAAAGGCTATATAAAATAGCTGAAATTTTTAAATCACAGTTTAGTGCAAAAAGTGATTTTCATGGTCTTCAAATAAACAACCATGAAATATTATAACCAGGTTTCAAGTGCAAAGCTCTTGAATCCACATAAGAAATTATTTTATTTTTTAGAAATTTAATGGAAAGCATTTAAATGAAAACCTTTAGTTTACTATTTCCAAAAATAAGTCCAACATTTGTAGGTGTAGAAAAATTAGAAACTGTGCAATTAATAGGCTGAAAACTTAAATATCGTTGCCAGTAACCAACTGCTATCTGCTGAATTTCAAGGGAACCTATTGTATATTAAATTTTTAAAAAGTGAACTCATCTAACCTCTCATCTCAGCACTTTCTCAACTTCCCTATTACAATCATCAATTAGTTCGCAGTCAAGTCTTCCAGACCAATAACATCAGAATTTATTTTTAACTCCTGACTCCTTCCCAGTACTCCCCTTCCATCCAATAAAGTCTGCCGTTCTCCATTCACACCTTCTGTCAAATGTGTTCTTTTCATCCCATTTTCACATTTTACTTTATATTACCTCATGATTCACATACACCTTACTATCCCCCCAAAAGGCTCTATGGCTCTACTCTAATCCATCACTCGGCTTGCCCAAATCATCTTCAGATCTCTTGGTTTAGCCATTTACAGTAAATACCAATCTCTCTTGAATCTCAACCAAACTCTTACAGGTCCCCTCTACCCTCCATCAGCTGATGTTTTTTTCTCAAATTCCATCTCTCATTTTCTATTTAGTCTCCTTTAATTTTCAGGAGAAAATTTGTGGTAAATACAAAAACATTTCCCTACTATACAAAAATCACCATCTTTGTGCCTCTGTCCATTCTTCCCAAGTCCTTGATGCTTCTCTATGAATTGAAGTTCTGCCTCCTTTAACATGTCTTAGGGTACATCTGGAAGTCTCCCCTCTCCAAACCATCTGCCTTACCCTTTTATTCTCTGTCCTCCCGAACAAAGCATTCTATTTGTATTCATAATCTTACAGTCATCTTGGTATTGTATTCATATTTTGTCCCATAAATTGCATCTACAACTAAATGAGCTTTTGAGGCCAAAGTTACAATTTCTAATCTCTGTTTTGAACAGGGGTCCCTTAGAACAACAGAACTCTAACATATTTGGCAATTACCCCTTCTTCTAAAATGTCCTTAAAAGTCAAGGTTGTCAAATACACTTAGCATTGAACTCCCAACTTTTTTTAAATGTTAAGTTTACCTATATGGGAATAGAAAATTTTACATTTTAACCTATACACTTCACAAGAGTTAACATCCACACTATGATGGAAGGAGTTAACTCCTTCAAAATAGGAGTTATTTTGAAAGAAAATCCTAAGGGAAAAAGAACAGTCAAAAGTTTAACATTATAAAGCTATTTTGTTTCACTCTCTGTGACCTAATAAATTCATTAACCAAAACTGATTTCAAGTGTTTTTAAACTATATTACCAAGATAAAGACAAATACTCCAGTACCACTAGAGGCTCTTAAGTATCTATTATACTATTTGCTTCATCATAGCTGAAAATTACTCCAGAATTTTAAATTATTCCTTCAAATAACTCCATGATGCTTTGTGATAGTTTGACCATTCCCCTGAAAGATGTATCAGCTTCCCTCTTCACATACCCTGCACTCTGTACTAGCTAGTCCCCACCCTCCCAAAACAAAATTAACTTTCAAAAATAATCTCCCATTCAGTATTACTTTAGAGCTACCCTGTTTCAACAAGTTCAAAGCCAACATGAATTTAAATCCTGAGTTAAAGTCATTTATGTTGCTTAAAGAATATACTTTTCACATAACAGCATATACTTAAAAAAAAAACACCTCAGTTCTTCAGTTCTCCTAGGCACCAAATTGTTTTTCTTTGCCCTCTCCAAGCGCCTTCTCATGGAATAAGAAAATACAACTTCAAATTTAACGTCAAGTTCTGGAAGTTGTTTAAATACTGTCATTAATAGCACATAAACAGATCTACAAATAGTACACTCGCACTCGGATGCTTAGTGATGCCGAACACCTAAAAGAAATCGGTCTTTTTTCAGCACAAATCTGGGGGTACACTCTAGTCAACAACCCTGTACCAGCGCAAGATTATATCCCTACTATATCCCCGCCTTCTAAAAACGTATGATAGTATAAATCACATTCCCACATCTAAATCCATAGTTTTATTTAAATGAGACAGGGACCAATGCAAGAGTATTTTAATTATCCTAAGAAGGGGTCCCCTGAGCTCTAGATCATTTAACAAGTCACAGAATGCGGCCCCAAAATTAAACTTCAGTCACAAATCAGTAACAAATAACATCCAACTCAGTGATTTGGCAACATGGTAATACCAACCTCCTTACTTCAAGTAACCTTTTGACTAAACATTATATATTGGTAGACTGGTAATGTCAAGACGAAAGGTTCCCAGTTAACATATTAAACCACTTGTCCAATTTTAAACAATGCCTATAGAGATACTGTGACTGGGTGTCAGCAGCCCCACCGCCCCTTCTAGGAATCAATGCTAGCCTCCCAGTGTGAACGCTGGTCACTGAGCAAGTTCATCTCAGGATTAAGAACAAATACTTCGTGTCAGTCATACAAGCAAAAAGAAGAAATGTTAGGAGACTGTAACACTCAATCTCTCTATTAAGTATACAAAAATTATGATAACCCTGAGACCTGAGCTAACTAAAATATCCCTCATTCCAAAAAAGGCATAAACTAAGCAAACATACAGTGGTTTATGAATCAAGTCTTGTCTTCTTTATCCAAAGGATAAGCAAGTAAACACTGACATCATTTTTACTACTCAGCACTTAATAAAACTACCAACAGAAAGGTAATTATAAGAAGTAGTTTCAAATCAGTTCATTCAAACAAAAATCATATTCTCTCAATTCAAGGTTCTTAATGAGACCGGTGGAGGGTGTAGTGGGAGGAGAAAAGAGGGAGCTGTCTCATCCTTAACTGAAGACAGGTTTTTGCGCTATTTCCATTTGTGACTCTTAACAGTTATACTCAGGGAGGGTCCTAACATTTTTAAGACTCTGGTATTTTAAGGTTGATTTTTAAGGTGAAGTGGAGAAAAGGTGTAAAATAAAAATCAATACTCCTCTAACTTTCACCCAAAGCTGAAGGCCGGTTTGGAGTTCCGGTGGAAGGAGGGTCTCTGGGCCGCCCCGAGACTGAATCTCTTCCTACTCTTTTTTCCTTTGCTTATGCTGGGTGTTAGTTAATGACAAATGCAGCATTAGTTTTCCACAAGAAAAGAAGAGCACTGTACTTTACATTTTTTGGGAGTGGAGAGCAAAAACCGAGCACAGTGGGCGGCACATGCCCGCGCCGCCGCCGCGCCGCGCTCCTCCCCCACCCCTTCTTACGCGGGCGGGGCGCTGGGCGGTGTAAGAAGGGGTGGGGGAGGAAGGAGGCGGAGGAAGAGTAGGAGGGGGAGGAGGCGTGGGGAAGAGCTAGGCGGCTGCGCAGACGGCGCTCCTCACACAGAGCAGCCCCTGACCCGGGCGAATGCGGGATTGTGCTGCCGCCGTCGCCGTCCGGGCCGAGTGACAAAGGAAGGAAGGAAGGAAGCAAGGAGGAGCCGGCCCCACAGACGCTGACAGGATTCCGGGCCGGGGGCAAAGCGCGGATACTTCCTGAGCGGGCATCAAGCAGAGGCGAGGAGAGCGGCCGCACTGGTGCGGTGGACGGGGGAGGGGGCCCCGAGGGACGGAAGCGGTTGCTGGGTTCCCATGTCCCCGGCGTATGGGGAGCAGTCGAGGAGCCGCTGCTTGGGGTCTGAAGGGAGCTGCCTCCGCCACCGCCGCCGCCATGGCCGCTGGATCCAGCCGCCGCCTGCAACTGCTCCTGGCGCAATGAGGAGCGGAGTCGCCGACACCGCCCGCCTCTGACTGACTCGCGACTCCACTGCCCTCCAGTTCGCCGGGCCCCCGCCGTCAGCCCTCCGGATCCCGCCGCTGCTGGAGCCGCAGCGTTTCCCGTCGCATCTCCGAACCACCCCCCTCCCTTTCCCTCCCTCCTTCCCATCCCCCTTCTTTTCAAGCGTGAGACTCGTGATCCTTCCGCCGCTTCCCTTCTTCATTGACTCGGAAAAAAAATCCCCGAGGAAAATACGATATTGAGAGTACTTATTTTCAATCAAGTATTTACCCCCATTTTGTGTGATATATATATTTTTAGGATTTTCCTCCCTTCCTTTTCGCCCCTCCAAGAAAAGGGAGGGGAAAGAATTGTATTTTTCCCCCCAGCCCCAAATCATCTATATGTTAAATACCCATACTGATCAGTCTTGAAGAAATACATCGCTCGTTTTTTTTTTTTTAATGTCTATACAAAAGGAGTAAAAAGCCAAGAGTACGAAGTCTTCTTCTTTTTCTTGTGGGAGAACTTAATGCTGCATTTGTCATTAACCTAACACCCCAACATAAAACAAAAGGAAGAAAAGGAGGAAGGAAGGAAAAGAGGGTGATTCAGGAAGAGAGTAATCATGTCAGGGCGGCCCAGAACCACCTCCTTTGCGGAGAGCTGCAAGCCAGTGCAGCAGCCTTCAGCTTTTGGCAGCATGAAAGTTAGCAGTGAGTATTGATTTTATTTTACACCTTTTCTCCACTTCACCTTAAAAATCAACCTTAAAATACCAGAGTCTTAAAAATGTTAGACCTCCTGGTATAACTGTTAGAGGTAATGGAAATAGGCAAAAACCTGTCTTCAGTTAAGGATGAGACAGCTCCCTCTTTTCTCCTCCCACATACACCCTCCACCGGTCTCATTAACCTTGAATTGAGAGAATATGATTTTTGTTTGAATGATTTGATTTGAAACTTACTTTCTTATAATTACCTTTCTGTTGGTAGTTTTATTAAGTGCTTGAGTATAAAAATAATGATGTCAGTGTTTACTTGCTTATCCTTTTGGATAAAGAAGACAAGACTTGATTCATAAACCACTGTATGTTTGCTTAGTTTATGCCTTTTGGAATGAGGGATATTTTAGTTAGCTCAGGTCTCAGGGTTATCATAATTTTGTATACTTAATAGAGAGATTGAGTGTTACAGTCTCCTAACATTTCTTTTTTGCTTGTATGACTGACCATACGAAGTATTTGTTCTTAATCCTGAGATGAACTTGCTCAGTGACCAGCGTTCACACTGGGAGGCTAGCATTGATTCCTTTAGAAGGGGCTGGTGGGCGCTGCTGACACCCAGTCACAGCAGTATCTCTATAGGCATTGTTTAAAATTGGATAAGTGGTTTAATATGTTAACTGGGAACCTTCCCGTCTTGACATTACCAGTCTACCACTATATAATGTTTAGTCAAAAGGTTACTTGGAAGTAAGTGAGGTTGGTATTACCATGTTGCCAAATACTGAGTTGGATGTTATTTGTTACTGATTTGTGACTGAAGTTTAATTTTGGGGTGCCATTGCATTCTGTACTTGTTAAATGATCTAGAGCTCAGGGGATCCCTTCTTAGGATAATTAAAATACTCTTGCATTGGTTCCTGTCTCATTCAAATAAAACTATGGATTTAGTTGTGGGAATGTGGATTTATACTTTTCCATCATACGTTTTGCAGAAGGCTGTGTGGCTCTGGATATAGTAGGGATATTTGCGCTGTGTACAGGGTTGTTGCTAGAGTGTACTCTTGTCCCAGATTTGTGCTGAAAAGTCTGTTCTTTAGGTGTTCGGCATACTAAGTATCCAGTGCTCCAGTGTATCTATTTGTAGATCTGTTTATGTGCTATTAATGACAGTATTTAAACATACTTCCAGAACTTGACGTTAAATTTGAAGTTGTATTTTCTTATTCCATGAGAAGGGCGCTTGATGAGGGCAAAGAAAAACAATTTGGTTGCCTAGGAGAACTGAAGAACTGAGGTGTTTTTTTTTTAAGTATATGCTGTTATGTGAAATGTTATATTCTTAAGCAACATAAAATGACTTTAACTCAGGATTTAAATTCATGTTGGCTTTTGGAACTTGCTTGAAACAGGGTAGCCTAAAGTAATTACTGAATGGGAGATTATTTTTGAAAGTTAATTTTGTTTTGGGAGGGTGGGGTGACTAGCTAGTACAGAGTGCAGGGTATGTGAAGAGGGAAGCTGATACATCTTTCAGGGAATGGTCAAACTATCTAAGCATTTCATGGAGTTATTTGAAAGGAATAATTTAAAATTCTGGAGTAATTTTCAGCTATGATGAAGCAAATAGTATAATAGATACTTAAGAACCTCTAGTGGTACTGGAGTATTTGTCTTTTCATCTTGGTAATATAGTTTAAAAACCACTTGAAATCAGTTTTGGTTAATTAATTTATTAGGTCTATTCTAGAGAGTGAAATAAAATAGCTTTTATAATGTTAAACTTTTGACTGTTCTTTTTTCCCTAGGATTTTCTTTCAAAATAACTCCTTATTTTGAAGGAGTTAACTCCTTCCATCATAGTGTGGATGTTAACTCTTGTGAAGTGTATAGGTTAAAATGTAAAATTTTCTATTCCCATATAGGTAAACTTAACATTTAAAAAAAGTTGGGAGTTCAATGCTAAGTGTATTTGACAACCTTGACTTTTAAGGACATTTTAGAAGAAGGGGTAATTGTTAAATATGTTAGAGTTCTGTTGTTCTAAGGGACCCCTGTTCAAAACAGAGATTAGAAATTGTAACCTTTGGCCTCAAAAGCTCATTTAGTTGTAGATGCAATTTATGGGACAAAATATGAATACAATACCAAGATGACTGTAAGATTATGAATACAAATAGAATGCTTTGTTCGGGAGGACAGAGAATAAAAGGGTAAGGTAGATGGTTTGGAGAGGGGAGACTTTCTCCAGATGTGTATTTTAAGACATGTTAAAGGAGGCAGTAACTTCAATTCATAGAGAAGCATCAAGGATTCTTGGTGGGAAGAATGGACAGAGGCACAAAGATGGTGATTTTTGTATAGTAGGGAAATGGTTTTTGTATTTACCAAGCAAATTTTCTCCTGAAAATTAAAGGAGACTAAATAGGAAAATGAGAGATGGAATTTGAGAAATAAAACATCAGCTGATGGAGGGTAGAGGGGACCTGTAAGAGTTTGGTTGAGATTCAAGAGAGATTGGTATTTACTGTAAATGGCTAAACCAAGAGATCTGAAGATGATTTGGGCAAGCCGAGTTGATGGATTAGAGTAGAGCCATTAGAGCCCTTTTGGGGGGATAGTAAGGTGTATTGTGAATCATGAGGTAATATAAAGTAAAATGTGAAAATGGGATGAAAAGAACACATTTGACAGAACGGTGTGAATGGAGAACTGGCAGGACTTTGGATTGGATGGAAGGGGAGTACTTGGGAAGGAGTCAGGAGTTAAAAATAAATTCTGATGTTATTGGTCTGGAAGACTTGACTGCGAATTATATTGTTGATTGTAATAGGGAAGTTGAGAAAGTGCTGAGATGAGAGGTTAGATGAGTTCACTTTTTAAAAATTTAATATACAATAGGTTCCCTTGAAATTCAGCAGATAGCAGTTGGTTACTGGCAACGATATTTAAGTTTTCAGCCTATTAATTGCACAGTTTCTAATTTTTCTACACCTACAAATGTTGGACTTATTTTTGGAAATAGTAAACTAAAGGTTTTCATTTAAATGCTTTCCATTAAATTTCTAAAAAATAAAATAATTTCTTATGTGGATTCAAGAGCTTTGCACTTGAAACCTGGTTATAATATTTCATGGTTGTTTATTTGAAGACCATGAAAATCACTTTTTGCACTAAACTGTGATTTAAAAATTTCAGCTATTTTATATAGCCTTTAATTTTTGGTATAACTTAAAACTTGTTTTTTATACACGTGATTATTCTCAGGTAAACCTTACGTTAAAAATAGTGGTAATAATACCAAGCTTCACTTGGTTTGTGAAGGGTCTAGCAGAAATTTTAAAAGATTTTGTAACAAGTAGTTTTTGACTTTCCTGTTAAGTATTCATCACAAGTTTAAATAGTATATTTGAAATATTTCTTTTTGCTTACTATGGTGAAGCCAGCATTTCTTTTTTGTTTACACCCAGATTCAGGTGTTATTAAATACATGTTAATACCTATACAGTTCCTTCTGTAGAATTACTTGATACTGTACTCAAAATAGAAAAAATAAGGGACTGTTTGGTGATTTTGCCAATAGTTGGTGTTTTTTTTTTAATTACTATTTAATTTAGGAAGAGGGGAAGGGAAGGGAGAAAGAGAGGGAGAGAAACATCAGTGTATGGTTGCCTCTCGCGCACCCCCTACTGGGGGTCTGGCCCGCAACCCAGGTATGTGCCCTGACAGAGAATCAAACCGGTGACCCTTTGGTTCGCAGGCCGGTGCTCAGTCCACTGAGCCACACTAGCTGGGGCTGTCTGGTGGTTTTGGTCAAAATATTAATGATACTGTCTTTGGTTTGCTATTGGTGAAAATTTAGTTAATTGCCTAGTTTTAAATATAACACTTGGAAAGAGGAAAGTAAGTTGAGCATTACTTACTTCCTCATATAAAACTTTTTATAGATTTTTTTTTTTTTAGAGAATGAATAATGGTATTCGTGTTTTATTGTGTATTTAGTCATATGGTGATTAAAATGGAAGAGTAGGTGGCAACTTAGAGCTCCTCTGTTCCAAGGAATCAGAATCTCTTTGTGACATCCAAAAATTAGGTTATTAGAATTTAGCCAGTTTCTAGATTATCCATGTTGACGTGGGAGAGAGTTCATGTGTGAGACTGAAAACTAGAACAGCAAAATTTTCATTTCTTTCCCAGTCAGAGCTTTCCAGAGTTTTTAAAACATTGTGACCTGTATACGAGAATTACATCTTCTCTTGTTGCATGCACCTGTGGAAGACGAAAAAGGAAACCCAGAGACTTACAAATCAATTTATGGCTGATTGGGAATTGCATTTAGAAAAAGAGGTGACATCTTACTTCACTGACATGGGTCAGCTGAAAATTAGTACTTGCACCCTGTGCTTTCTGCCCCTTATTTTGGACTTGAATTACAGGTGTGAGATACTGTTTTGGAGAAGTTTGCAGAGTTTTTTAAGTGTCAGCAGATTCTGAGTTCAGGGGAACTCTTGTTTTTGTGTGTGCTTAACGTATAGAGAAGACTGTGTGTGAAACATGCATGCGCTGACACTGGTGCCACAGTTCCATACTTGTAAATAAGCATTTGTTAGAGTGCTAGTGTGCTTATTTTTTAATAAGACTCATGGGATTGTGAGATAGGGATGATGATGGGCAGGCTGTGAGATTGTGTTATCTTTTATGATGCTCCACCCTACAATGGAGAATGGAGGGGCAGATCACATGGGTGTGACAGGAGTAGATACTAGTAGTAACAGGACCAACCTGATTTCCCGGATATTGTATTGTAATAATAAGAACGTAATCACCATGAATAAATGGATTTGTTGGAATGTTTAGCATCATTTTCTAGCTTTTTTTTTTTTTTCTCCCCAGAGGGTGTGTGAAAAGGGAATCTTTAATGATTTCAAGTTTAGAAGTATTTTCATGGTTCATTGGTTTTAAAGTAGAGGTTACAATCTTTGTTCCTATCTT